ATTTGTCAACAGAGTCATACCCAACAAGGGCCACCAGACAATGCGAACTCTCAGAACGCAAAGATTGAAAGCTCAAACGATCGCTCAGGCATGAAGGAGCGGTCTGAGTTAAACCAGGTCCGCTCGCCACAAGACCTGCCGCCTTCCCATGCCTCTGGGCTTGGATCGACACCACCCAAGCGCCCTGATAATCATATTCGTCTGCGCGAAGACTTTTCTTCGGCGTCGACTTTCTTCGACAGTAATCTCCCGGGATCTGCCACGGGATCAGCAGAAAATTTATGCAGAGATGGATCAGAAGCGTCCGATGGAGGGCCAAAACTTGATGTCTGAGCGGTGCCCTAGCCTGTCACAAACGGGAATAGGTGTTTCGGATGGGCTGGGCGGAGCCACGGTGCAGAATCCAGAATGAAGTCGAGACGGGCTCAATGACATGGACCGGAGGGCTAACTGGGCGCATTCTATCATAGACGGGGAATTATTATCATCAAGGCCTATCATAGATTCTATGTGTATTTTAATCGAAATTTAAACCGCGCGGTTTCCACTCTTTGAGCGCGGCCCATCTGAGCAACTCGATTTCGTGACCAGGGTAGTAAACCGGCTAGCTGCAGTGGGCCTCGTTGAACCGGCTTTAATGCTAAGGCCCAAGATCAAAGTGTCGTCCCCTCGTCAAGAAAGGAGCTGGCGAACTTTCACAGAGCGCCCTGTGCTGATACGCCGACAGTTCTGTCTTGATAGCTGCTCATGATGTGGGGATCAAAAAAATCCTTCCTTATGAGATGATTGGTACAATGTGGCCACCACACAAGAAAAGGAGTCGAGTTCCCAGCAAGAATGTGTAATGTCCAACTTGAAACGCCATTTCTTCGATCGCCCAAACTAGTCATAAAGGCACAGAGAGCTGCGGATAGTGGGTCCATGACGGTCCGCGGAGGAATTGATTGGATGTCTTGGCGCCGACCCGTGTTCTGCTAGCCAAGGGCCTCCGTCACCACTCGATACCCGACATCCTCTGACCGATGAAACCGCGTCGCATTTGATCTCTGTCCAAGCGTGGTGCTGACCAGGAAGATGAATACCCTTAATTGGTCAAATACACCGTCATGAAACGTGGAACATCGCCCGATCTATGCGACTCTCAGAGTGATGGTGAGGAGCGGCCGTCCAAAATTCCCCGGCGAGGTAGCTTAAGCACGAATCCAGAACCTTTGCAGAGGAAGCACGACCTTAGGAAATCATCACAGCCGCCTTCTCCCCCCTCGCCAGATCACCCTGGAAAAGTGAGTAGCGTGTCTGGGTTGACGACGTTCCAGTAGCTAACTGCATAGCAATCAAATCCCCCAGAACACCGAACTAGGACACCAATCTCGCTCACGCATACGTCCACCCCGCTTGAAGACCAAATATACCAGTGGATACCAGCGCCGGAGTCTGCTGCCGTCGGAGAAATGAGTGAACCAGCATCCAAGCGATCCCGATCGCGCTCGATCTCTACCGACCGGGGACGCGCTCGGTCTGTCTCCTCCGACAATAGCGAAAGCAGCTCGGCTCGTGATACTCGGTCATACGCCTACCGTGCTGTGAACTATGTGACTATACTGGAGACCAAGGGTTGCTTCATGCAGCCGTCCCCAGCTGGCCCGATGCCTGACGACATCGCGCTCTGTGAGCGTCTCCTTCATCAGCCGATCGCCACTCCCCAGGGCACCCTATTCGATGACGAGTATATTGACAGATTTCATTACGCGCTGCGGAACCGGTCTGAAGCGCGTCTCCTCGTAGACCTGCATCCCCTGATCATGCCGTCCGCGGAAAATCAATTCATCAGGGGCACGCAGGGCCTGCGAGACGTCATAGATGGATACAATGATCCATGGCTGAAGACTGAGCCGATCTATGGTCCAAAGCCGCAGCCTGACCATGCACGTGGATTGAAGTGGTCAGTGTTTACTGAGAGCCAGCGGCGCAAGCTCGGCGTCAGACCCGACGAAAAATCGCCGTATACGGCGCGCGAGGACATGTACTTCCCTTACCTGACCGCTGAAATCAAATGTGGAAACCAAGCGCTGGAGCTCGCGGACCGGCAAAACATGCACAGCATGTGCATCGCGCTGCGAGCCGTAGTCTCGCTGTGCCAAGCGGCTGGGTGCACAGAAGAGGTGCATCGGCGAATTCTGGGATTTTCGATATCTCATGAGCTCGATGGCTTTCGCATATACGGGTACTACCCTGAGTTTGAGGAAGACAAAGTGTCATTCTACCGGTGGTCCATTGCGCAACCGAACGTTTGGACCCCGGAGGATCGATGGACGTGCTATCGATTCGTGGAAAATGTGGACCGTGAATTTCTACCCAATCATACTAGTCGGGTGATTCGCATACTTGACAGAGTGCCTGATCCAGATGAGGGTGCTTCGGAGGTCGATGTTAGCGAAATGGAGCCACAGCTGTCCATCACTGGATCGCAGGAACGCCCAGGATATCGTAGAGCCGCATCCTCGCAGAGCCGTGGACTGCAACCTGAGCTGCGGATGATGGTCCAAGCACTGCAGCAACAGCTGGCAGAGCAGAAGACGCGGGAAGAGAGACTGCTTGCCCAGCTTGAAGAACAAAATATACGACAAAGGCAACTAGAAAAGGATCACAAGGAACGAGAAGAGAAACGGGAGGCAGAGCAGAAGGTGCGGGAAGAAAAACTTCTTGCTCAGCTGGAACTACAAGGGAGACTTCTCGCCCGCTTAGAGAAAGAGGACTTCAAATGAGCGTTCTGCTTTCGGTATACCTGAATCCTTTTGGAAACGCTTTAGCTTGTATCTCCTCTGGTAGCTAGATGATCTCGGTCCTTGATATCAACACAGCTAGGAGGGCATCATAAGCACTGTCCAACATGACGCTGCATATGTTGTGTAGCCTAATTGCCCTCGCGTCTACAAGCCAATGAAGTTGAGCTGTGAGAGGCCCGCGCAGATTTCCAGGTCACAGAGGACTGCACAATAGGTGTTGAGAGTGCGATTAGGCTGGACGAAGAGGAACCGTGGGCTAGGGCAAGGATCAGCGTGGTTGTAGTAGTCAACGTCCCATTGTGGTCAGTGTGCCCTGCAGAACTGTCGCCATCCCAAAAAGCAGCAGATATTTGACCAATGGCATCTGCAGCGCACAAACTGGGTCCATCGGTCCAACCCATAAGGCGATTGGCGACGTCAGAAACATAGCAGTGAGTGGCACCGCCCTGGCCCAGGTTGCCGCTAGAAGCCACCGCGCCGGAGTTGTAAGCACGCGCAGCCTTGTAATATGAAGTCACATCGGTCGTCCCACCTTCTTGGGCTATCAGTGCCTTGAGGCCAGGCCCGGCTGGGGTGCCTTCAACGCCGTCCAGGATCATCTGGAGTATCTCGCTCCTGGGACAAGGGTTCTGAACCAGCCCATTATCGTTGCAGGACCCAGATCCCTCGTGACTTTGCATCAGTCCAGGATTAGCAACCCCATTATTCGTGGTCTGAACACGAACGCACCCTTTGCTCTCCTGCATGATGATCGACAAGATGAAACGCGCGTCGATGCCGCTTGATTTCTCCGTTTGGTAGATGCCATCCTTGATGAACTGTGTTTCGTCTTCCGAGTTATTAGGGAGGCCCCATTCGGCGCAGCTGACAGATATGGTCTTTTTATTACTCTCAAACATGGTTTCAAGAGAGTCAATCCACTGATCGATGCGTGGCCAGCCGTCGGCGATCTTGCCGTTACCACCTAATACTGCCGCATAAAGAGCAGTGCTGCGCTCATGGAGGGCATGCTGCCGATGAGAGGAGGTATCGACCGCTCCAGCGATCATCTGCAGGATTTGGACTGCCAAAAAGAGCGGCCAGCGAGTCATCTTAGCCCAGGGCTGATTAACCAACACGAGAGGACTATGCTGGGCAGGAGACGGGGAACCTCGTTTGATTGGCGCCTGGAGCACTGAAGAGATTGAAAAGATATAGAAGTTCTTATGAGCTTTGAAGATAATCAGAAGATATTGATTGACGTTCACTTGTGTCGCAAGCGGCCAATTTATTTGACTATGAACCAAGGACACCCAACGGACATGTTCATGAGGCAACTTTCTTTAGCTACAATTATCTTTGCATTGCCCGCTGCAGGACAGGGACTGCTGCACGAGGAGGCTCTTGTTGAGGGTTGGTTGTCAATGAACGCTTGATCGATGACAGAGATTCTGTAGACTCTTGGGCCTCATGAATAGGTTCCAAATGGATGAAGGTGCACCATTTCAAAGCGATAAGCTTATTAGCAAATGAATGTTCGCTGAATAATCGCAGTTTCAGTGGCGACTAAGCCCGTAGGAATGACGGGCATGCATGCCAGGTCTTTTGAACCATTTGAATTAGGTGTTCGGTTCCTGAGTCGCTCACCTGCCTACGCACTCGGCATTCGTTTCCGCCATGCTGTCAGCATGAGGTGTGATATATACGAGTATCGGCACGCCGTTACATGCGCCCACATTGAGAAACACTTGCTGCACTTCAATGACTCTAAAGCTTCTGCAACACCTCAATCTTGTAAGGAGTACATTGTTTGTCGTCTTAAAATGTTCCCGGTCACTCAACATGCCTTAGTCCTCACCTTCCTGAAGAGCGGCGCCTGCTCTGTGCAACGGTCCCGCGCGTAGCTTTTCATAAGACTAAGTATAAATGCCTCGTGGTTAACCTCTACTGCAGCCTTTCTCTCGCATAATTTCCTACCTTTTTCTCCCGCGGATTTTGTCTTGCTGGGGCACTACTGTGTACCGCTTTATAAATCCTGATTCTGGTAAGTTTTCTTTGGCCACGAGTCGGATGCACTTGAGTGGGCTCCGTCGTTTCAAATAGACCGGCTACTTCTGATCCCCGTGAAAGGGAAAGTCTTTATGTGTAGCCGATCCCGGTTAAATTGACAACATTGCCGACGCTGTGAATATGTCACACCCACAAACGAAACATAGAGGAAATCCTTTCCGCCGAATGCCTCAAGAGCTATTTGACATGATCGCAAATGAGATTCCTCCAAACGTCACCAAGCAAATTGCGAATGCAAGCTTAAAGCACGAATGTGCTGACAATATCTTATGGAGGGCTATTTTTGCCTCTGACGAATGGATCAATTTAGCTGAACACATCCTGAAAGAAGCGACGTATATGAAAGTACCAGGCCCAATTCTTATTGGAAGGAATTTATCAAGCATCGGCAACCCAATGGACAGCAATCAGCAACATCAGCACATCCTCTTAGCGGCCAATGATTGGACAGGCGACTTACGCTTTCACCAGGAAGTCTTTTTTAAATCGCTCAGAAAAGACTACAAGTATCGCCAGAAAGACCAGAAGGTGATCTTTCCTAAGGCTATGCTGAGAACCTTGCCTGACGGTGAGTGTGTGTCCGTTCCAGGCATTACTCTATACATCCAAAACCTAAACGGTGCAGAAGACATTGAGCTTCCTAGAAAGGATCTCAAACGCCTGTTCGACAAAAAACTCATACAAACCCAATACAGCTCATCCTCACTGAAGAAAGTGCAGACCATCAAGGCTTCTGATGTCTGTGGACTCCTCAATAAAGGACTTTCCACGCCAGGTGACTTGAGTCCAATTTGCAGCATAACATTCAAGACCTGCATCGGCCCCTGGCAACTCTCATTCATCACCCCGGAAAGTGAGAAATACGAGCTCAAAGCTGTTTGTCGGAAGGTCGGCTATGTTACCTTCGTGACTGGATGGGAAGGTGTCCGTAAATTCGACGGAAGATGGTGGCTGTTGGGGAATAACCATTAAAGGGCTCGCAGACTAGGTCTATGAAATCATCGGAGAAAAGTGTTACTTCAAAAAGCAAAAATGGGAGTCGTGTGCCAGCGGATTAAGTTGAAATTGATGACCAAATTGATTGGTGATGTTGTTGTATTGTGAACGCCAGGAACGCACAGCGTTAGTGCAACTGGATCAAACTGGCATGTGAATTTAGAGTGATGTTTTTATCAGAGATCAATTTTTCACCACTAATGGATGCTTTTTTTTCCGAGAAACGTTAGCGCTTCTTGTATCAGAGTTGACGGGAAGTAAAATTGAGACGTCTGAGATGAAGGTGGAATTGCTCCTGGGTTTCAACAAGGTTCCCCCTCTTGTATATCCCCAATCCCCACCACGCTCACACGAGGTGTCGCAGAAGGTATATCGTCATGAATATCAGTTAGATGGCATCACACACGAATACGTATTTTTGCTCGTCATTCGCGTCAGCCAACAGTTTGTACTGCCTGATGCAGAATTTCAAAGCCTTGATTATCCACAGAAGATCCGGACACCGCGTGTGTAGCCCAGATACGCATCATAAGAACCGACGTCATAAGCTACTCCGCACCGTCAATAGTTCACCAGCCTTTTCTCGTCTTACTCGTGACACTCTTCTCCAGCCATTGTCTTTTGAGAATGCACGCTGATCAACTTCTTATCCATGACGAAGTTAGAAACATATTAGATGCATGGGCAAATGGAACGAGCAGTGGGGCGTCTGAAACATAGTTTTGGGCTCGGGTCGATCTCTATCAACGCTCTTATTGACTGGCATCGCAGCGTCCATTTTCATGGAAATATCAAGTAACGAGCGAAGTCAAGGATATAGTGAAGCGCACGCTTTAAATTCGAAGGAAAAGCTACAATTACAGAAATACTAACTGCTTGGCCTCCGATCACGGACTATTTCTTGCATTTGGAATGGACGGCCAGGAAAAACACACTGAGAACTGATGAATCAATTAATCAGGTTGTCGGAAACCTGAAGAGGCCCCTCGACGGCATGCCAGTCATACATATGATCAGATCAAGCGCTCAGATAAGCTGCTTGAGACTTGATCGCCGCAAAAGCAAGAACACTAAACAAAAACCCTTGATACCGATTGTTTCAAAAGCATGAGCTACTTTGAACGTATCAGAACGATCATCGGCATTTGCGCGCAGTGAAGCTGCTTGAGAAACCTGTCACAATTGATCAGACACATCACATGAACACCACCCCAATCAACTGCCATTCTCTTACATGCTTCTTGGATTTTGCCAAGCAGGAGGACGGACTGACCACGCTTTGGAGTTCTTTGAGCATATTGTTGCTCTGGGAAAGGAAACCATTAGTGAGGGACATCCTGACCTACTGACCTCCCATGATGGATATGCCATAGCAGATAAATCGCGCCCATGTAAGAGGCCATATGGATGTAGGTAAATTTTGATAATCGCAATCCGCGCATGGATACTGGCAATACGCCTCTTCTACGCCGAGGCCCAATATTTAACCTGTTTCGTTCACTCACGGCTTCGCCTTTATAGCATTTGACTGGCTGCTTTGAGAATCCTCATTACTCGCAAGCCTCGCTCGATGGCTTGACGACTCGTCAGAATAGTGCTCAATTGTGAAGCGACGGAGCTCTGCGCTCTTTTCGCTCCAAACGCACGCGAAAGCCGGCATTGAACTTCCTCGGATACAGCATTATATAATGGCCGACTGCGTGAGCTGGCAAGCTGCACATGATGGATGAACAAAATGGCTTTTCGTCACCGACACTCACAGCAGCAATGTATGATAATTTACGAGTTTTCTTACAAGGAGCCTTAAGGTTCCCGCCTTTCAGGGATAGGGTAGCTGTCGTTGTCGACGAAGATGTTCGGCTGGAGCTTACAATATGTCTATTTTGACTAATGAACTTAAGGTTGAAAGTGGATGATCAATTCTGGTCCCCGTTTGACAATTTCTATCTCTCTTAAGGTGTTGAATCTCACTATCAAAACCTTTCGTACCCTTGAGAATACATTTTTTGTTACTTCCATTCCTTCGCTAGTCATCCGTCTTCGCGTCTCTCCTGCGCAACCTGCATTTGAGGGAAATAACTCAGTTGTCCGTCTAGACAGAACATTGAGGGCATTTGAGGGCACTCCGGTTTTTAAGTACTGAAGAGGGGAACGCCTATAATAGGCCCGTAACAACGGTATCCGGCTCACAGCCGGGAAGACAACACCCAAAAGACCTACTCTCGCTACTGGGAATAGCAAGACCTTCGTAACGGTAGCAAGAAAAGATTGGCATGGATGATCTAAAGGGAGCTATCCCGGTCGCTTTCTAATATATAATACATGCAAGGCTCTCGGCTATAGGCTGACACCACCCATTCTCTGATTACATAACATTTTCTGTCCTCCCCACTGCAGTACATACCTTTTGCGTCTGCCCAGTCTGCGTTGTAGACTAGCAGGTCTAGGCTGTAAAGCCAGGGAGGATGAGGGCATGTCCCGACTGATACTAGATTTTGACTGTGCAGATATGTTGGAATGTGCAACGCTTCTAGACGTGTCTTCCAAAACCAGGTCAAATCGCACTCGTTTTTGTATTCCGTCACTGGATTCTCTTCGGTTCGAGTGTCTGTGACTGGACTTGTTTGAGTCGCCTGTCTTTTGCGGGGATGATGTCGGTACTGGTGTGGCAGATCTGTTGCCCAAAGCTTCAATTGTTCTCTCAACATTCGCAATTCCCGTGCGAGCACGGCCGGCAGACGACGGATCCAACTGTGCCATTATGAGGTGGGAATTGTTGAGTTCAAGATAGGGGTAAATTTGAGTTCTGTGAAGGTACTTTATAGAAGGAATCATGAAGGAGCAGACTTGGATCTACGAGAATTCTTGGAGAGGACGTATATATGAGGCGGCTCATGGGACAATGGCGAGTGGACGCGCGAAGTGGGTCGAGGGCAGATCAGCCAGTGTGAACCAAATACTGCCTGCCGTTCACCGCTTCACCGCATGTTTATAGCCCGACGAGTCAACGTCAACACGCACCCGTCAACACTCACCCATCAAGAATCACTCCCATCAAGAATCGCATCAGCTCAAAGTCGCTCTCAGCACCATTTCCCACTTTTCAAGGCCGGACGATCTTTGACGGCTCAGGTCACCTTATTGGTCAGCGTCACGAAAATCCTGCCTGGACGGGGTCCTGGCATTGGGTTCGCGAATGAGGGAATCATTCAGACAAACTGCCTACTTTTAACATATGTCTCGTGCAGTTCGAGACGACCGCTCTGAATTGGCTCATCAGTGGGCATGTCGAGGAACCTATTGCGTAAAGCGATTTTACTAAATACGACTCTAGGTATGGCCTACGAGGGAGCTTTGAATCGACTGAACTGATAATGTGATGATTGTATTTCCCAGTGGGCTGCCATGGCTCATGCTTTAGTCTATCTACTGTGCAAGCCTTGGCTTCTTCAGTCCCCATGGGAGATGAATACTGGTCCCTAGCACCACGCAGAGGTGCTTGCACATTGCTAGGGGGCCTTGATTTCGCAGATGTCCCTGCGGAGTCGCTTGATTTCGCAGCTGTCTCCTGCGGAGGCGCTTGATTTCGCAGCTGTCTCCTGCGGATCCTCTTGGTAACGCATTTTTCCTTGCGGAGAACTTATTTGACGCAGCGGTCTCCTGCGGAGAACTTGGTAATGCAGCGGTCTCCTGCAGAGAACTTGTTGACGCAGCGGTCTCCTGCGGGTCTCAATTGTCATCACAGCGTCCCCCTGCGGAGTTCACTTGGTAACGCAGCGCCCCCCTGCGAAGCACTATTCTTATGTCACTGGGCTTGGATCAGCAACAGCCGTCGTCACGGAAGCCTCAGGCCCGAAGGTCAGAGGCGACACACCGCGGCCGCGATGTGTGAAGAAAGACAAATGGATCGGGGGAGGAGCCTGCTTTTATGGACTTCAGCTACGCTTTCTCGCAAATACCAGCAGTGCAGGTTTCTCACCGAGGACGGTTCTGGCGGTCGATGCAATGTCTTCACCGGTCTTGATCCATGAGCTGGACGATGCTGGCGTATGGATCGCCAATCATGTCGCGGCAGACAGCACCACGACCGTTCATTCCATCTGGGTGTGTAGTATTCCTGACTCACAGAAAGTGCTGGTCGAATCACAAAATTGGCGCAGTTGCAATCGGAGGGCAAAGAGCTGGCTCACCCATGGTTCGCAGTAGTGGTACGGTGACCTCAGAGACGTGAGTCAGAATGAAGGTCCTCAGCATTATGCTGCGCATGCGAAAGTGCCATGGGGGAGGACTGTGGTCAGGCCATTGGTCTACTTTGAAGAGGCTCGTCGAATTGCGTGCGGCTTCCATGTCACCTCCGCTTGACTATGCCCAAGTTCTGGCGGCTTATTGTGAAGTACTGAGGTACGCGGCTCACAGGTTTTGTGTTTGCTGCACATTCAGAGAAGAAACGCCTACATGATTGCTGTTCAAGGGTATTGCTTCATACATCCATTACTGGACTTGTGCAGAGTCCCATGTGTCCACATATTCTACTTAAGGGCTGATATTAGTGACCAAGATTGGCAGCGGAGGCTGCAGAGAGCTCTGCGTTCTTGGTGATTGTCAATATACTCCGATTATGGTATTACTATCAAAAGGCCATGACATATCAACTTAGTGAATAAATGTCTCCAATTCTCAACTTTTGGCGGGATGCACTTTTGTGTCTTTCGTAGAGTAGTGTATGCCCGGCACCCGCTACTTGAGGAGCGGTCCTTTTTGCTGGAACGGCCGAAATGTAATGGAAAGCGATTCCAACGACGCCGTGGAGAGTTTTCAGGCGTCGCACAAAATTGAGCAATCTCTCATTCACCATCATTCTCTAAGGGCTTCTGGCTTTCCTCGCTGATCATTCACTGTCGTTCACTCAACGTTGAGGCAACAGAGTGGATATGGTGGCTCCACCTCGACCCACGGGCCGCACCGGTGTGGATCCA